TTTAGCATTTAGTAAAAATTATTTAAATTTCTTTAAATCGATAAATATCGATAATCGCTTCTAGATTGATCACTGGCTAAATATGTTCCTTCTTTATTAGAGACAATTTAGTTAAATTTCAATTTAGGATCTCGCACAGAAGATTCTGATTGCAGGGTATTAGCACGTCGGGCAGTCCCTCTAAATGTTTATGTTTCTTGTTGTGTTTTGTTATGAATGCAGGCAAAACAAATACTTAAGATTTAAACAATTTGGTGTTTCCGGCAGCGCCTGAAAACTTTTGTTGGTTTGGTCAAAAAGCTTTACACCCCTCCAGGCGGCGATTGACCTCAGTTCCCACCCCACACGCACACACACACACATACACAACTATACACTTGCAACCACACACCCAGAGAGATATACAAATGCCAAAGCTTTCCTTAATTAAATGGAACAAAATGTGAAAAGCTACAGAAAAGCTTTCTGCCGAGTTAGTCAATCGGTGTCCGACCGAAACGAAAGATCTCCGCAACCGCTAAGCAAAACGAAACTAGAATAGAACGTTTTAAATAATTAAGGAATTGAATTTAATTAAAAGATAGCATATTTATACTCATTAGATTCTCGACAACAGCTGAAATATTTTTGAACGAAAGAAAATATTGAAAGGCTACTTGTAACGAGCTCCGCGAAGAAAGCAAAACAAATCGCAACGAATTGTGTGAAAAGTCGAAAGATGATTTATTGAAACAATTACAATTTCAGCATATGCATATTGAAAGAGCGTATATATACTACATTTGTATATTTGTTTCCACTATTCAGCGGCGCGTTCTATACTAAAATAAGCCGTGGTATAGTCATTGACGTCATTGCGAAATACACTGTGAGAAACACCAGAGACCGACAAGTAAATAAACATTTGTGCGTGTTTTTTTTATGTTACGAAACTTTCGAGGAGTGGGAGCAACAATTTCTTTATGTTAATTACGAGATGCCAGCAAAGGCAAGGCCCAAATCAAAAAGAAACTGTTTGTTCTAGTTAATAGATATCCAAGGTTTTCAACATTAATGGTGCGTATATATATGTATATATTAATATATATATACATTTGTGTGTGTTTATGTGTACGATCTGCAATGAATCAGCATTATAATTATCTATAGATACATATTGTACAAGTATTTTAACGACTCATCATTTCGAAATCTTTTGCTCATGTTGAACAGCAAAGTTGTTTTCAAATTTTAAAAAATTGTGCACTAATTTTGGTTATACCCTGTATTCAGTATGGATCGAGTAACTTATATTATAGCTCTGGTCATTTGCTTATAATATATAATAATTATTAAAGTGTATACCATCGTATTTTACATTTATATATTTCTATAAAAACTTAAATATTATTATGATCTTGAAAAGTAATTTACAGAAATTTTCTTACGCCATTCACCAAATACAAATTTTTATTTGTTAATATATATTTGCTAAAGAATAATCCGTTAATGGATAATGTATATATAAATACCAAAGATCTCTTAGATAGATATATACATACATTATTTTATACGTATATTTCATAGCTAACATTTTAAGGCCAAAAAGTTTCTTAAGCCATTTGCTGGGTATATTGAGGTCACGCATACCCCAGCAGGGCAATTTTACTTGTCCATGGTGAGAGCTGTTGTAGGCGGCCAGACTTGCCTTTCGATGTTGATGTCACCATGTCGTGTGCTTCAACCCGAATAACACTTCATTCATCTATTCGCACATTTTAAATTAAATTAAACATTTAATTAATTTACTTTATTATTCAACCAGAAGTTACTTAAGCAATATGCAATTCAAACTTAGCCTTATCGACTATATATATTTATAGTACACAGTATATGTATAAAGTATATAAAGCTTATGTAGATCGATGGCCTTGATAAAGATGATCATTTAATATTTTATTCGAGAGCGTGTGCCTTATGAACCGTTCTCAATCTGCTCTATATATATACTATATAGTATATATATATATATATATACTTGTGTATTGTTAGCATTAAGCGGATGCATGAGCAATGTAAAGAATTTTGTGCGGTGCTCCATTTGCCCCATCATAAAATACAATTCTCATGTGAGTGGTACAGCAACGCCCCACCGGGTGGCTCTACATACGATATATCATGTTCAGAGGCGCGCCGCTTGACGTCATTTTAGATGTAGTCAGAGCTTACTTAGTAACGCTAACTAGTCTGTTTAGCTGGTGTGCTACATGCCACATGCCGCATGCCGCATGCCACTAGCCCCAACAATAGTATGACACTTACCATATCACTTGCTGTATAAATCAATAAAAGGGGTCTAAACTTGTTGATAGAACACATAACAACATAACAACAAACTGGAAGAACAAGAGAGAACGTTGCGGTCGGACGCAACCGACTGCTTGATACTTGTTTACGTTTCAGGCATGGTAAACTGAATGAACGTACTATTTATGTTTTCCGATTCGAGTACACCTCTAATTTACGACTAATTATGGGATGGTTTCTGATTCCAACGCTTCCAGTGGACGCATTTATAATTATACTCAATTACAAAGTGCAATGAGTACATTAGTTCCGTCCGTCTTGCTGTCTGTCTGTTCGTACGTAAATGCGTAGCACTAGCAAAGGTCTTATTTGTTTATATTTATGTTTATGTTTGAGCTCTAGTCATGGAGTTTTTCCCTGTTTGTCATATTCAAAAGGATATTACTTTTATTTTTTCCGATTTTTGCTTGCTCTAAATCGACCCTGCTATATAATCCCAATCTAGAAATATTTAAAGTTTCGATCTCACTAGGCAGATAGACATTTATAAGCATAGGTAGAATCAATATACTCTTTATATGTGTAAAGAACGAGTATTTTCCTACTCAGCAAACAACACAAGGCGCTTAGAAGTAAACGAACGCTGAAGAAGCCTCTCAAGTATTTTTCCAATTTGCTTGCAGATAAATCCAAATTGGTACTCAGCGGGTGCAGAATTGATCAATATATAGATGACATATATTGCTATGAGTCGAGGAGACTTTCCGTAGGTCGGACCACACCGTATATGCAGCATATACATTATAGATACATATATTAGAATATATTTATTGAAAAAAAAAAAAAAAAAAATTAAACGACGGCTATATTTTTGTATGAAGTTTACACAGAAATAAAACCGAAAAAAATGGCTGAAAATCAAATAATAACGACCTCTAGCAAAGGTATAAATGAGAGAAACGCACACATCCTGTCGCCCCACAATGGGGCGGTGCGTAAACAGGAGTACGAGAGAAAACCTAATGAGAAACAGAGCTTCCAAGAAGACTTGGTCAAAAACAAACTAAAGAGAAAGAAGAAGCTGAGCGCATCGCTCACCTCCGTTGGGGACGCCGTCAACCAGGAGAAACGCACACGCATCGAGGGCATCAATTTGAATATTAAGCCCCGTTACAAGGACACTAACGGCACACACGAGTCGGGCGCCGCGAAGCCCCCAGCAGCCAGGCCACACCCCAAAGTGGAGCGGCCCATCATCATAGGCGGCGTCAATGTGCTTTCAGCAGCGCCGCAGCGCTTCAAGCGAAAACTTCAAGAGAATCTGGACACAATACAAAAGCTGAACGCACTCGCCGAGCAGCTGCGTTTGGAAGTGAATGAGGTAGCTACATAGTATATTAAATAATTAGCTGCGCTATTTAGTTTTTATTTCCACTTTCAGCTAAAGTCCAGCCTGATAACAGAGCGTGGTGCTGTGCGCGCCCTAAGGTATGTACCGCCCCGACTGTTGACTCGGATGACACAAGCTACTTTCTTTGTTTCCACACAATTATTTCCATATATTTAGTACTGTCAGCAGAGAAAACTTAGACATGATTCTTTTAGTTCATTCTTAAGACCCATACTTGCTCTGATCAGACATATTCATAGAAATGATTGATGAAGATTTTCTTTGAACTATTTTAAAGGAGGGATTACGTGGAAGGCATAATAAAGATAGCTCTTATGTAGACCGAAAGGAATAGAGAGAGTGAAGAAAGACAGATAGGCAGATGAGAAACAGATAGACAGAGAGAGAGAGCGAGCGAGGGAAAGGTAGAGAGGACGAGGAATGTAGAGAGATATAGAGAGTGAGTGTGATAGCGAAAAGGGAGAGTGTGTGAAAGAAAGGGTGAATGAAGAAAATTTAAAGAGAGAGAGAAACACAGAAATGGAGAGAAGAGTTGATGGAAAGGGAGATGTATAGAAAGGGAGATGGAGAGCGAGAGAGAGAGGGAAAAAGAGAAGGTTGAATTAGATAGTTGAGAGAGGAAAACAGTGATTGTGAGAGTGAGAAAGAATGACAGCAAAATTGAGATAGTCAGATGAGACAGGGAGAGAGAGAGAGAGAGAACGAAAGTAAAAATTAAAGGATGAAATAAAAAGAAACAGAAAGAGAGTGATATGAAGAAAAAATGAGAATAGACAAAGATCTAGTATATTGTTGGGTGGATTAAGGGGGAGTGGCTTTCTATCACATGAGATGGAGATGTTACCTGTCGTTGCTTATCACTTGTGTTTGCTGCAAAAATTTATTCTTAATGCTCTGCTTAGACAATCTACTGATTGACACTTAGGCTTAAGTTAGCTTCGGCTTAAATTAGGCTTATTTTCCATTACAAAGTTGTATAGAGTAAAGCGGAAGAGTCAGCACAAGTACTTAATTTAAATTATATTTTCAACAATTCCGCTTTCGGCTCGTTTACAGGGCACAGAACGATGCCGACAGCCGAAAATGGCGAAACGAAGTAAAGAAGCTGCAACAGACTCTGGAGACAGCCAAAAAATCATCAAGTGGAACAAAGAAACCCAACGAGCCGGCCTCCGCTGAGGCTGGCAGTAGCCATGTGGCCGCCGATGGCCTAATCAACTATGAAATCCAAAGACTGACTAATGAAATTGCCATGCTAAAGGAAGCAAACAAATCCAAAGAGGAGAAAACCCAGGTACATATCTCCCATACATATATGCATGTTTATATTGTATGTATAGAGCTTATATGCATGCCGTTGTCTAGCGATTGCGCTTTGCTTTGGCCCAGTTATGTTGCAGCAACTCCCATAAGTGTATCAAGACCGCCAGAGCCAAGCCAACGGCCCACAGAAAGAATACGGCGTGAAAGTGTTCCAGTTTGAGAACGACCGGATCGTCGCTGCTGTTGTGCCGCCGATTGTTTTGCACCTTGGTGCCAGACTTAATGAAGGCTGTGCTCATAATACGATCCCAATAGCGCTCGAAGCCGAACTCGTGTGCTCCGCGAATGAGCTGATTGATAAAGCCCAAATAGGGCGACCCATAGGGAACCGTGTAGACCCCGTGGAAGGGCACCAGGCAGCTGTCCATGAGGTGAAATAGCGGTCGACCGAGATGCATGTGCTGCCTGGCATTAACCTGAAACGAGGCAATGTGATACTTCTCCAAATAGGCATACGACTGGTCGTTGTGATTGAAGTGCTTGACCAGCTCCGTGTCAGGTACCTCCTGCATTAGTTCTCTAATCCTCGCCTCGTGCTCGCGACCATTGCTCAGGAACTGACGTATGTGCTTCATGTGACGCGATCGTATGAGTATCTTGTACGACGAAGCGGCTAGCTCGCTCAGGTCATTGATGTCCGGCATCGACTTCCGATAGACCATAATGCTGGTCAAATTGCCCCGAAAGGCGGTGCTAATCAGCATTCCAAAGTATAGCCAAAAGATGAGGAACATGCTGACACAACTGTTGCGCGGCACATGTGCCAAGGGCTGCGCCAAGGTGGAGGAGAACAGGTCCAGGGCGCCTCCTTGGCCAAAGCGACGTTTGTCTAGAAGTGCGTTTGATGTATAGGAGAGTCAAACTAGATTAGACTTGAAGGGAATTACTGACTAGAAAGAAGGAAATTCCTGTAAGGACACTTCATTGCTCAGAGGCGAATTTTTAAAAAGTGAGTTGCTGGGGAGTTGGAGCTGGAGTTGAGGAACTTAAATGAAGAAAATAAGAATGATGAGATGTAGAGGAGAGAAGACAAGGAAATTGCTGTGTGGGGAATAGGCAAATACAAGAAAATTTTTCCGTTGAGGGGAATTTATGGAAAGGAATTGTGGACAAGAAAGTAGCTAAGAAAGAAAATAGGGGAAGAAAAGAAGAGAGTTACGGAGTAGGGAGTAGGTAAAAAGGATTGGAATTGTTTTAAAGGTGTTGGGAATTATTGATAGAAGAATTACTGATAGGCGAATTTCTGATATGAAGAGCAGGGAAAAGCAAATTCGATAAAACGAGAAGAAATTCCACTCACACCGTCCGTGCCTAGGTAGGGATGAGGTGGAAAAAAACAGCAGCTGGCAAAAGAGATAGGAGAGCAGCACGGAGATGCCTATGGCCAGCCAAACCCAGCCCCCAAAGGAGCGAAATATGTTCCAGAATAATAGTTCCGCCTTGGCTTTGGGCACGATTACGCAGAGATCGTCTCGATTGTGCGCGATGGTCGGTTCGATTCTGTTTTTGAAGGTTTTCGGTGCCAGGAAACGGATATTCATAGCCACGTCATCGAACTCGTTGGCTATCTCCTTGGAGCATAAATCCGTACTCTGGTTGTAGAACAACGGGCGTGTGATTATTCTGGTCGCATTCAAGCGCTTAGCTATGTAGCTGGCCAGCAGTCCATCGGAGCCCATGAGCTTGCCCTTCCGGCCGTAAATAGCACGCACATCGTCCATGTAGAGGCACATACGCAGCGGCTTGCGATGCATATTCGGGAGGTTCTTTGGGAACAACTGCTGCAGGGTTGGTGACTGGTTCTGGCTGAGGTCCACGGGCAGGAGAAAGTCATCCGTGAAGGGATTGTAGCGATAGATATGGAGTCGGTCATCCCGGTAGAATATTATAACTATGTTCAACAGCCAAATGCTCCAGAATTGACGGAAGCTCGCGCGCATCCAGCCTAAGGAGAGATTCTCTGCATTCCGCACGAGCAGCAGAACATGGGACAGATGCTTGGCCGCGGACTTCTTGTTGATCAGGGATAACTTTAGGGGCTGCGATATGTCCTTGATTATCATGACCATGTACATCAATATGCCGTCATCTTTGACTGCCTCGAGCGGAACTGATTTCTTCCTGTTGGCGAAATTTCAATTTACATAATATTTATAATGAGCGAAAGATATACACATATTTTCTATATATATTTTTATTCTTATTTTAAAGTTGGTAATATTCCAATGAATACCAAACCAGAAAAATTATAATAGTTTTGAGATTGTGAATAAATTACTCGAGAGTCGCAAAAATAAGAAACAAAGCAAACTGAGAAGCTGCAGTAGTTTATAGGGTTAATCAAGTCGTTTATAATTTATTTTGACTTTGAACGACACGAGCAGCATATTTAATCTTGAAACTAAGCTATTGAATGATTCAGAATTTTAGACGTTTGCTTTGTGGAGTTACCTATTTCTGTTTGTATGAGATAGACTATTTTTTTAGAGTAGTACTACTTTCTATATAGCTTTAAAAATGGGTGCGATTTTTGTGACGGTTCACTTAAAACGTTAAACTTGTTTAGTATACCTGATTGATATATAGGATGTATCGCATTTGGTGACCTCGCGCAGTATTTCGCCGGAATGATCGTGTGTCGTTTGATTTTCAAAGTAAACGAAGAGAACCTTGATGCGGGCACGACAGAGAATTTTGCCAACCTCTACCATAAGATTCGAGTCCTCATCCCAGGGCAATAAAAGTGGATTCGCAGTGGCATTTAGCTGGAGTATTCCCTCCAGAAAGAGGAGCAGGACAGTCAACGAGTGGAGCGTAGCTGCCATTGTGAACTAGTGCGAAAATTTGGGGCACACATCCTTGCTTTTATAGCAGCCAGGTGTAATTTAATTAATGCTTCGCCTATCTGACAGCCAACAAATATTGTTTTGTTTCTTGTTTTTTGTTTGCTTGGATTACATTGTTTGTTATATGTCACGTTTCGCTAATGGAAAGTGCGACTAAGTGCAACTAACAGCATGCCAAATGAGCTTTTTGTTTTAGTTCTTTTGATGTTCGATAAGCTGGTTGCACATTCGAAAAGATATGTACATTTATGGCAGAGAAATAACATAGATACACGGCATACGTGACGATTTCTTGCAGATCATTGGGCAAGCTGATAGACGAAAGGCAGCTGATATGCGCCAATTGAAAACTGCATATGAAAACCGATTGACTCAGTTACAAAAGTCAGCCAAAATTGAAATAACACGTTTGGTAAGTTACGCACAGACGGCTCTGGCGAGAAATTTGGAACCCAAACGCAGTACGTCGATGCCGTCGAAGCGGAGGGGCAACTTTTTATACCCTACCCCTGAAGCAGGGTATATGATATCATTGCTTGAGATGAATGCAATAGGCAGAAAGGGAAAGGTTTATATTATTTATATATTCCTTAACTGCCGATTATATACACGTTAAAAATATTTGAGACAGGGTATATGGTATTTGATTGAGATGCAAGCAGTAAGGTCAATAGAGGCTATAGAGTGATATCTGATTGCTATCTGACTTGAATCAACATCTGTATTCAACATACTGCTGTCTGTTTATCTATTCGTTCGTATAATCAAGCTATTCTCGAAAGCTACGCTGAGTAGAGTAGAGTAGAGTAGAGGCAGCAATAGAAGGAAAGGCGTTTAAAATAATTACAAAAGCTTATTCTCTCTCATGATTAGGATATCTTTGCTTTTTCATTAAATATATATATAGATTGAAGAGCTTTGACGTTAATTGAATTAATTTCCTGGGAAAACAAAATTTTAGAAAGAGTTCAAGGTATCTGCCAGTCGGACATAGCCGACCGGAGCAGTCTTTCTTGTTTATTATATATTTTTCATACCCATACTTTATACATATATATCTAGTATATACATATATATACAAATACTTCGTTGAAGTCTCGATGCTAAATGTGTGTTTAACTTGTGTCTCCCCTGTGTGTTATTGCAGCTAGAGGAAATCAAAACCAAAGAACGTAATATAGGACAACTGAAGAAGGATTTGCAGACACTGAAAAATGGCAAGAAACAATGTGAAGCCAAAACGAAACCCAAAACGAACGAATCAAGCCAAAAGCTTAAGAAGCCAACTACGAAAACAACAACTAAAACAACAACAACAACAACAACAACAACAACTGCAACAGCAGACACAATAACAAATGCTAAAAACGAAACAGACATCAAAGATACTCTACTACCAAATCCCCTACACCAGGCTCAAGTTACAGCTGAGGTGAGTTGGTAACGAAAATTTCACATTTTAGGGTTGTCAACCTACATGAACTACATGAACGTATGTATTGAATATGTATTTTGATATTTAAGTATTCATATTTTGTAAAATTATATATCATTCTGTTCACATAAGATGAGAAAGGTTTTTATCAAGGTAACTTCGCTGCTTCACTAAGTCTTTAAATATGCAAATGTGGAACAACATTCATATGAGTATTTTGGGCATATTTCTCAACACTGGTGCAGAATTGTCCAACTTATGAGTTGTTTACCAACACTTATGAGCTACTCCAGGTGGTACAAGTAAAACATTTGTTCTTGCCAGTCAAAAAGATGAAGGAAACTTTACTCGATTTACTAGAAAGCGCGATAGTAAACGTAAAACAGATTAATCCCCATTTTATCGTCGCCAAATTCGGGTTATTAGATGTGACAGCTTGAAACAAGCTTAATTTTATTGGCTCGTGAAATTGGATTACACTGAAAGTAAGACTGCCCCACACAACTGGATCTATAAGAGTCTCTCTTAACAGCATTTTTATTATACATAGGTACAAACTCTAAGTGTTATTGCTATTTTAGTCAAGTGTCATTTGACCTCTTGTGGTTAAGTCCAGGTACTTGAACTTGGTGCGAAATAAAAACACTTTCAGTGAAACATAGCCGGGTTAAATGTTAAGATCTACCTGGAGATAACTTTGTAAAGCTACATATATGCATTTGCATCTGTATTTGTATGTGTATCATTTTTTCTGCTCTCGGTTATGCGCGATTGGCATGATCTATGATATAATTTTGCGTTAGTTATGAGAACGGCCGAAGACAACAATCGCCGTCTCGCGATAAAAACCTGCTACGCGGCTGAAACGTGAGACCGATAAAAAATCAAGAGTACTCAAGTGAGTAATACCTGGCTAAGAGATACCCTGATGAAACGATGCTTTAGGCATTCCAGCTTATAGTCGTATACATGACGGATTACTCTTGCTCAACTCGAATCGCCTATTGATTCTGGTCAAGAATATAGTTGCCTTAATATACCTTCTGTCATGCTTTCGTCTGCCTGAGGCATTAATTTCTGATCAATCAATATACCCTGCTTACACATTTCCAATGAATTCAGGGTGTAAAGACGAAAAAACACGCGACAAACACGCTGCAAGCAACTGCATTGCAGCGCAAGTGTTGCAAGTCGATCGAACAAGAGAGCGAGCAGCAGAGCGTGCGGGAGGCGAAGCAAAAGAGAGCGTAAAACAAAAGCCGGTTTTGCACTCACAGACCCACACACACACACACGCGCATGTAGAGAGCGAAAGAAAAATAAGCATAAACCACGAAACCAACAACAACAACAACAGCAACAGCTGCAGTCGCACTCACTCACACTCACTTTCTCTTACCTGAGAGAGATGAGAGCGCTAACGTTATGCCGCTACGCCGCTCTGCCGTTGCGGCTCGCCGCTGCTCTCCTAAGCCTAAGCCGCCAGCAAGCGAAGCGTCAGCGTCGGCGTCAACTTCAGCTTCAGTTCAGTTTCGTTTTAGTACGCAGGCAACGCAGGTGCGCATGGCCCGTTTTCCAGTGCGTCGTCGCTCTCGTCCGTCGCCATTCGCGCAGCGCAACCAAGTGTCAAGTGTACTGAGTATTTATTTATGTTTTGACGTTGGAGTCGGAGTCGGAGTTGGAGTTGGAGTCATCTAAAAATACCACAGCCCATGCAAAGCAAATGAAATCAAAAATAAAATTATTCTACTGTCAAATGTGGACGCGACGCGTGTGCTCGTTTGCCATTGTTAATAATTAGGTGAAATTTGTTTGGCCTTTTCCAAAGTGCCGCAAAATGTGAAAGAGTAAATCAAGTGCATTGTGTTTGTGGCTATGTTTGCGCGCCGAAATCGAACACAATAAATACACATACCCATACATACACATATATTTATACACATAAAACACCTTCTGTACATCATTGAATACACACACAGACACATACAACAATCATTGGATCTGTGTTGCTGTTGCTGTTGCTATTGCTTTGAACCTTTGAATCGCTCAACAAAACATTGTACATATTTACAGTTTGTCTTTCACTTTTTCCCATTGTTTTGCAAAACTGTTAAGTTTAACGCACTATGGGCCCCATGCGGGCAATGGAAAGGAAGGGGAAGTTGGGAAGTGGGGAGGTAGGGAGCACTCATAATTTCACCAAATTTGCAGCACAGTTTAAGTAAAGCAAAACAAGAAATAAGAAAGAAAAAAAAAAAGAAGAAAAACACTGGGAAAAATTAATTGTCTATGCAGTGTTCCGTTTCGTTTCGTTCCACTGATTGAATTCAATTTTACAGTTCATTAATCGCGCCCGCCTGCTATTGCTTTTGTTTTATTAATGCCATCTTCTTCTTCTTCTCGATTTGCGCTATCGAAGCATGTCGAAGCCTGAGATTTGCATTTGATTAACAGTTTAACAGTTCTTTGGGCAGTTGTCAGGCAGGCTTTCCGCCAGCTGGATCAATCAATTTGCATAGGCTAAGTGCAGCCGCAGCAGCAACTACAGCGCAAAGATGTCATCTGGCAACAGCATCAATATGCGTCTGTGTGTGTGCGTATGTATGAGTATGTGTATGTGTCTGAGTGTTGAGTGTCTGAGTGGGGAGTGTGTGCACACCACCAATTGGGGTCAGTGAAAATCTTTTAAATGTTAACGCTATTTTAAATACGATACACACACTCTCACACAGACAGCCAGACAGACAGAAAGACTGCAAAAAATTGCCGAGGCCATCTTCAGCATCATCGTCAAACGACAGTAAAAGCGTAGCCCCCTCTGAAAATGAAGCTGTAATGCTAATGATCATCACGATGATGATGTTGCTAAAAAATAAACAAAAACAAGCTTACAAGGCATCCAAGTTTCCAATATGCAAAGTAACTACAACATATATTAGAAAATAAACGGGGTGTGTGAAATGTGAACCATATGCAAATCTCTGTGAATTGCCGTTTTTCAGCTCATTTTTAAAGTGATTTGCTTCTTCTTCTTCTACATTTGGCAAAAGTGTTTTGGTCTATAAATTTGTCTGTTTTTATTATAGTGAAAATAACGGTGGTGAAATCAATTTTGTGAGACAATGTTGTAAATCGCATCAGATACGTAATTTTGTCAAAATGAATAACCAAATCAATCGAACAATGGATTACTTTTACGAGTGTCGAGATGTGAAGGTAAACACACAATCAAATACAAACCAAATTTCATTCAAATTTATTCTGCTAAGTGTTAAACTCAATATCTATGAAGAATAAATCCTAAATGTCCGACCACTGTCCCATTGTTCGGCATTGCTCATGCATTCATTCATTCACTCATGCTCATTACGCATACAATAGCTGGGGGATATGATGAATGCGAAGAGAGCTTTCGCGATTTGCGTATAGATAGACTGGCACTATGCGAACAGATGAGAAATCAATGTTTGCGTTTCCTCACTTGGCTTTAAAGCAATTCGGTTGCCCAATTTGTTAGATCATTTTTGTCGTATTCTATGTATATTCCAATACATTCACATTCTATATATATATATTTGAATGCGTGAATTAATTATTTGCAATATATTTATGTAGTATATAAGTATTTGCAATATATATATATAT